ACCTGGATTATAAATTGGTATATCTACTTCAAAAAGTAATCTAACAACCATAATCAAGCAAAACTGAAGATATGTCTACCTTTGAACCCAGAAATTTCATTTCTACCTCTTTTCTCTGCAGAATTCTGCGAGAAGGGCACAAGATGACTTATATAAGGTTTATTTTGCAAAATGCTTATAATTGCATAAGCAAGTAGAAACAACCTGAGGGTTCATCATGATGAGAACATAAATTCATCATAGAGTAGTCGAAAATGGAGTACTACTAAGTAGTGAAAATATATGAACTAGATCTACATATTGATATTGATAAATCTCAAAATCTTATTGCAGTAAAAGCAAGCTGCATAAAACTGAGCAGAATAACATTACATAAGTTGTATGGACGTACAAAGCAATACTTTGTATCATTTGTGGATCTGTACATAGGTAGTAGCAGTTATATAAACTATTCATGAGAATAATAAACACCAAACTCAGGTAAATGATTTTTTGGGAAAAGGAAGAAGAAAAGGAAATGGGATTGAGAAGAAAGAAACCAAGGGAGTACATTGTGTTTTAAAATAAATTTGTAATATTTTATTTCTCAATAAATCTGAAGCCAAGGTGGGATAACAACATTTCTTATAGCTGATTTATTTTTCAGTTGTACAGAAATTCATTGTTTTATTATCTATACTTTTTCTGTGCACTTAAAGTATCTCACAATATTTAGTAATTGAGAATGGGAGAGAATTATATCATTATATAAAATGAAACCAAAACAGAAGACTGTCTCAGGTTGAGTTCTCATTAACATAAAGTTTTGTATGTAGAATATTTGTCATGGTTGAACCCTGTGAAGGACAGCAGAAGAAAAAGCAGAAATAGATAGAGAAGATTATCAAATACTATCAGACTGGCAAAGCCATAGCCAAACATACAGGGAACTGTATGAACAAGCTTCAGTATTGTCTTTCTTTTTCCACCTGAATCAGCAGCTGTATGCATCCTGGCCAGAAGGGTGCACCCATAGAAAAGGAGGTTCTTTGTAACTAAGGCACCCATGCTGGTAGCCGGGCCCACAAGTTCTACCTTGGCCTTCCTTTGGGCAGTGCAGCAATGTCTACCATCATGAAGGGGAAGTTTAATTTTCATCTATTCTCTTGACTCACTCAAAGAATATCAATATATTTACCTGAGAGTTGAGGTAAATGTAAAGAGCTTTGTAGCACATGTGAACAGATTCTGGTTTTAGAGCTTAAGTAGTCTTGACGCTCTTTATAAGTTGTTGGATTTGCTTGCCAAATTATGAGGAAATTGTCATATCCTAAATCACTGGCAAGCACTTTTAACATTACTTTCCTTTTTTCTTTTTAAAAGAGAACAAACATAAGATCCCCCTATAAAGGAGACTGGTTTAAGGATCAGCCTCCACAGTCTATGTTTAGAAGATAAAATGTAAAAAGTTTAAATTTGTAGATTATATCTCTGTGAAACATCTTAAAGAGTGTTATTTTAGGAGTCATTAGATAAGTTTTTATGTCAATGTGTAATGCTGTCTTCCTCATCAGTCAGTCTAAGAAGCCAGTAGAGACAGAGTTGTCAAATATTTATATCTACTTATCCATCTAGGTGCCAATCACATATGGGTGTTCAACTTCTATTTCATATGGGGTAATATTCGTCATCTTACAACAAAGCATACATATGTTACTTGTTAATATTTACAGGTATTATGTAACATATACCAATCCCATGCTTTATAGCTTCCTAATATTCTGCTTTTGGCACTCCTTGCTTGTGAGAAGTGTGGACACACATAGGTAGAATGACTTTGATAAAAGTATTCAATGACGTGCAAATTTATAGGCTCTGTGATCAGTAGGGATATAATCAGGACTTTACTCAGTTAATAAGAATGTTAAAGGAATTACCCAACTTTTAGATGCATACATAGGTTTTCCCAGCAACTCAGACTTTCCTAGTAACTCAGCTGCAAATGGTTTCTACAGTTGTTTCAATCAAGGTTCCTAGTTACAAGAAACAGAGACTGATATGGCTAATTAAGCTGAAAGGAAGTTTCATTAGTGGTTATTAGTGAATTTCCACAAGGACTGGAGAAAGAGCTTGAGATCAAGCGTCCAGGGACTATCTAAACCTATGCCACAAAGTTAGTCAGATAAAGAAACTACTTACGGATAGTGCCACCATGCATAGTCAAGCACTTTGCTTGGAGGTAATTTCTTTGTTGGGAACTTGACCTTGAGACTTAATATAGGAAGTACAGAAGAAAAGCAGAAGGAGAGAAAAAAAGAGTTTCTTACTTTATGTAGCCAAAGTCTCCAGATTTAAGTCACAGTCTGGCTTGAGCACATCTTCTAGATAAGGCCAAAGTCACTTGTATCTGCTTCTGAGGGAACAGATTATGGGAAACTGTTCCACCACTGCCTTCAAGCAGGAATTTTCCCAACCATTTCCTTGAAAGGTTTCAGGAGTTATATAGCAGCCACAAACATGATTTTAAAAATCCACTATGATGGAATTTCTTTCTACAAATGGAATTCTTTTGCTGTGTTTTTGAAACATACTTCAATCCTGCCCTGTATGGTAGCTTTTGGCTCTCTCAAAATGAGGGAAGCACTCCAGCCCTCAGTTGGCATTAACTGTTGAAAGCAGAATACAGAGGTAATGGAGAATATTTGGGGATTCATAAGTATTTCTTCCCTGGCCCAACTTGATACAAGCAACCAGTCCTCTGAGAAAAGATGTACATAATAAACAATTAAGTAAAATAAATGAAAAATAGAATTCTGTTAAAAAATAGAATGTCATTTCAGAATGAATGAATAGTGTAAGATAAACATGATATTATTTTATGAGACTGTCTTAGCCTGGGACTGAATATGGTGTAATTTGTGTCTATCTGGTCTTTTGTTGCTGAACATTTAATAAAAGCCAGGGCCTAGGAATTGGTGGCAGTGGCAGACAGTCTCCTGCTTACCTGTTACAATTGTATTGCACAGCATTATTGAGCCACCTCTTACTTATATAAGGCCTGCCCAGTATTCTCAACATCAGAAAGCAATAAGGGATCCAGGGACTATTTCGTAAAACTTACTCTAAACATATGCAGAGCTAATGCTACTAAATAATTGCACATATGCCTAATACTAGAGGGAGCTAATGTACTTCTTAATTTAAATTTTATGACCTATTTACCTTTAGTCATAAATGATATTTTAGGTAGTTTTATTTCTGATTAGTTTCTAGGCTTAGTGTTCCTATGCCTACTATTTTGAATAAGGAGTCTTTTGTCAAATTATTTCCATTTTGGCATTTGTGTTGGATAGACATGAAAAGAGATAATATGGTACAGAGGATCTTGAGGTATTCTTGGAAATGTTATTTCTGGCTTAAAGCCTACAGAATACACTTGATTTGATCTTTATCATGTTTTATAGCATGGTATGATTTCTGTTTATTAAAATCCCATCAACTTAACAATAAAAGAATGAAGTTTAAAAACATTTTATCTTATTTTCTTTTTCTTTTTTTTTTTTCATTTTTCTTTTATTATTCATATGTGCTTACAAGGCTTGGTTTATTTCTCCCCCCTGCCCACACCCCCTCCCTTACCACCCACTCCACCCCCTCCCGCTCCCCCCCTCAATACCCAGCAGAAACTATTTTGCCCTTATCTCTAATTTTGTTGTAGAGAGAGTATAAGCAATAATAGGAAGGAACAAGGGGTTTTGCTGGTTGAGATAAAGATAGCTATACAGGGCATTGACTCACATTGATTTCCTGTGCGTGGGTGTTACTTTCTAGGTTAATTCTTTTTGGTCTAACCTTTTCTCTAGTACCTGGTCCCCTTTTCCTATTGGCCTCAGTTGCTTTAAGGTATCTGCTTTAGTTTCTCTGCATTAAGGGCAACAAATGCTAGCTAGTTTTTTAGGTGTCTTACCTATCCTCACCCCTCCCTTGTGTGCTCTCGCTTTTATCATGTGCTCATAGTCCAATCCCCTTGTTGTGTTTGCCCTTGATCTAATGTCCACATATGAGGGAGAACATACGATTTTTGGTTTTTTGAGCCAGGCTAACCTCACTCAGAATGATGTTCTCCAATTCCATCCATTTACCAGCGAATGATAACATTTCGTTCTTCTTCATGGCTGCATAAAATTCCATTGTGTATAGATACCACATTTTCTTAATCCATTCGTCAGTGGTGGGGCATCTTGGCTGAAAAACATTTTATCTTATAATAGAACTTGTTTTCTTTCATGATGCAGCATAGATTGAAGAATAATTTCTTTAGACATATTTCCAGCTTCTTAGTACAATTTTAAATTTCATGTTACTGCTCATTTTTTTTCAACTTTTTTGATCTCTCCCTTCACACAGTGGCAAGTGAATGCATTTGTGAACACAGCAAAATTTTGTTGGTTATGTTATAGCTAAATTTAGCAAGACTTTTTCTTGGATGTTGGAATGATTTTTGTTCCTTAAGCAGCTTTGTATGAGACATAATTAAGTATTTCTGTCATGGAGATTTATTGGCTTTTTTGTTTGTTTGTTTGTTTGTTTTGTCAATGCTGTTCTGACATGCAATACAGTGTGAGGGATATAAAAATTAGTCATCAAGGAAGAAGGGCTTATATTGATTTTTGTGTGCCTCTGTTGTAAACCCCTCAAGTAAGGTCTCTGCAAACCTTAAATTTAATATGGCACTGTGGCAGAAATACTGCTTAAAAGACTGTGAGTAGAACTAAAAACACAAGGGGAGAATAAAGATCTACATGTCTCCAATTCCAAACAAAAGCTGATATTCTAGGGTCTTTAAAAGAGCAGAAATCAGCAGCTTATTTGTATCATTCAGACTTTAATTTCACAAAGTCACACTATAGCTTTTTGTTATGGGTATGTTCCTGTGTTTCCTGTGACATACATTAATTCATATATCTTCCTGAGCAGCAAACTTTTTTACCTTATATACCTTTTATTTCCTTGAATCACAGGAGCTTCAGTTTCAGCGCCTCACCCGAGAACTGGAGGTGGAAAGGCAGATTGTTGCCAGTCAGCTAGAAAGATGTAGGCTTGGAGCAGAATCACCAAGCATCGCCAGCACCAGGTACAGGGCCAATGGCTCTATCTTTATACATCCTCAAGTAACACTTCTTATTAAGTTGTTCTCGATGTAGGAAATTATTCTGTTAGTGCTGTCCCTATTTAACTTGCCTTCCTGAATTTAATACCAAAAATGTCCATTTATCTTAATTTTGTAAAGCCTCTTACAATATTGATTGTCATCAGTCCTGCGCTTGAAATGTTTTATACAGCATTGGTAAGCTTCTGTGGCAAAAGAAGCTATGCTATCTTCAGAATTTGATTTCCTTTATGTAGGTACAGTTGATGGATGTTTCACAGTCAGTTGCTAGCCATTTGGGAAAGCTAGTTGATTGGTGATTTGAAAATATGGTATGGATTTTTAAAAATTAAATATTTCTAAATGATAAGGTTTAAGCTGTCTTTAATTTACTTTGATTTTCTAGAACTCTGTTAAACTGATTATTATGTGAAATAATTTAAAGAAATTAAACATAGTAACCACAAAATAAGTATGTAATTGAAAAGTGCATTTAATCATGATTGTCATTTTTCAGTTAAACGGCCTCCTATGCTATTTAAAAAGATCATTATTACATAAAATTCTACCATACTTTAAATGGTTAAGTCACTGATTACCTTATCTGTAAATTTTTTTCTTAGTAATTACATATTCCTAGAAATTCTACAATAAAATACTTGTACATTTTTGGCTTGGTTTGTTTACATTTAGGTATACCCACAATGCCCTGTCTTGGTTATTTCTAAGCACATAATTGATTGTACTGTTTCTTAGTCTCTTCACTCATTGAAAACAATTCCTTTTGCTGAGTAGAATGCTGTCTTTAATTACTTTTTTTTCTTTTTTGCTGATTGGTGGCTTTGATTTTAAACATTAGACTTTTAAGTTGCATTCACATCAATTTTTCATCTTCAATAGGATTTTTTCAAATATCCAGGTAGGTTTTTTATACTAATAAAAATTATAAGCACAACATAAAATCATAAATTGTAAATTTCTAATTCTACCCAGTGAAATAATTTATCAAGGAAGTGAAATTATTAGAATAAAATTTAACTTTAATTCTATTCAATATTCTTTTTAAAGTTTTCTGTAGCTTTAGCACCAATGTGGGAAATTCACACACTCAACCATATAGTATATATTTCCAAAATTTTATGGACCAAAAAGTATAGAAGAATTTAATTTATATTAATGGGAAGATTAATTCAACATTTTAAGACTTTGGTAGAACTCCTTATTCTGGCATTATAGTTAACCAAATAAGCATAGAACTCATCCTGCTAAACTTCTGCAAATATTTGCTATAGCAATAATAAATGCCAATACCTAGAGAGAATGGTAAAAAGAAAGACAATTCCCAGGTACTAAAAATAAGAAAGCAGCTGAAGGCCACAGAAAGAAGTTTTGTGCTGCTATTGCTGGAAATCTGGAGACAGTTATAACACCCCAAGATGAGCACTAGAGTTGGGCTTAATGCCCATGCAGGGACCAAGGAATGAGGTCTTGGGTGTGTTCAAGTTGGTACATTTGAACTTCAAAGCAATGCATTAAGTATGCCCTTCAAACAGACACATCTTTGGTAAAGCCCAAGCTCATACTGTGTATGGGTTTGGAGCCCAGTTATAACTTTCCACATTGTTCAGGAATTGTCATCTGAGAAGCTGACACCACAATCAGATATTATAAAACACAAATCAAAAACCCTCAATAGTGAGTGACATCAGCAAGATGACAGCATAGGACTTTCTAGTGTATGTCCTCTCACAGAAACCATTTGAAAAATTCTACACATGAAAATACCTTCAGAAGCACTTAGAAACCTAGGTGAGACATTACAGCACCTGAGTGTACCACAAAAATGAGAAAAGATGCAGGAAAGAGGATAGGTAGGAGTTCGGCATTGTGCTTGGTTTAGCACTTTTGTATCAGGTCTGATTTTATTTTAAAAATTACATTAAAATAGTTACCGTAAAAAAAAACAAGTGAAGTGCTTGCTTCAGCAGCACATATACTGAAATTGGAACGGTACAGAAAAGATTAGCAGGCCCCTGCTCGAGGATGACACGCAAACTCTTGAAGCACTCCATATTTTAAAAAAAAAAAAAAGCGAATAATGAGTGGCAATCAATAGGCAAAAAACAGATTATGTTTTGAAACAGGCATGGTGGCTCATGCTTATAATCCCAGCCATTCAGTAGATAGGAGGATCATGGTCCAAAACTAGCCTGGTGAAGCCCTTGAGTTCAAACTGCAGTACCACCAAAATAGGAAAAAAAAAAAGAGAGAGACTCATTTCAAACTCCATATACCTTGGATGACATTCTGAAAGGCACGTATAGGAAATTAACTGAAAGTAAACTCTAGAATGGTTAAAATGAAGTAACTAGATTTACATGTATCAACATGGACATGTTTTCAAAGCAGTCTTTTGATTGAAAAATCACAAGTTGCAAAGGAAGAAATACAGAAAGATATCAATATAACCATTTTTAAAATATACACAGTAATACTATATAATATTTAACAATACATAGAGATGTTTATCTGTGAATGTGTGTGCTCTAAAAACATAAAGAACCATTTTGGAGGGCTGACAGAGTGGCTCATGTGGTAAAGCACCTGCCTAGCAAGCATAAGGCCTTGAGTTCAACCCCGTCGTACTACCAAGAAGATTTTTGTTTGAAGTGGCACCAATTTAAGATAGTAATACCTGTACAAAGGAAGGAAGGAGGAAGATAATAGGAATTGGGCTTTGACCAAACATGTAAGAGAACCATCTGGAGCCAACATGACAAGATATTCATATCTGTTAAGTGAGGAGATAGTTAGTATATGCATGATTGCTAAATTATTTTCTATACTTAATAATTTTAAGGTTATATAGTTCAGTTAGAAGTCTATAAAAATATATATTGTGGGTAAGAGTGATAATTTTTTGTGCTTTATACCTGGTTTCACTGTCTTGTGTTATACCTCGCTTGTTGCTGGGTCTTAGGTATGAGGTTAAAAAGGTAAAGCTGGCGTTTGGTTATGGAGAACTTCGTTAGGTCTGTAAAGGAGACCTATAGAAAGGTGTTATTGGTGATGGCGATTATTATTGGAGGGAGTTTTCCTTTCCTGATAGTGCTGTGTATAAAACAGAATGAAGAGAGGCCAGATAACCAAACAGGAATCTATTATGGAAGGGCAGGTTTCTTCATACAGTGAACTCTAGTTGGAATGGTATTTGATCTACTTGATTTACCCTACTCCCATGCCATGTCAGATTCCCATGTGTGCTTCATGACTCAACCAAATGCTAATCCTTCCTTACAGCCTTTCCCAAGATCCTCGAGGAAAGCCATCTCTTCAAATGAAATCTCGTAACTATTTCTGTGCCTGTTTCAGCTCACCTATGATGTGCTACTCCCTCAGCGCTGGCATAATGCTTAGCAGGTCATTGAGTAGATACTAAAACTTAATGAAGGCCAGTAGGTTTCAATCTCATCAGAGAATTCTTTGTCAATAGGTTATGCTCTTGGTATCAATATTATCTACCCTTTCTCCTGTTTGCCCTCTTCACACCTTTAGGATGCTTTTCAATGGCCCTAAGAAGACAATTGAGATAGTTGCCCTGCTTCATGACTATCAGTTCTACATACTGGCAAGAAGCCGTTAGAAAATAGTGTATGAACAAAGGGATTTTATTGTGTCACTTGAGAAAACCCTTCTCCCCTTGTGTCTTCCAGCTCCTCTAACTGTATGTTAGGAACCACAATATAAAGATATAAATAGAAATTAACTCTAGACCCCAGGTTCCCTTTCTGGTCAGCCATTTTTTATTTGTTCAAAAGAAATTAAAAGTGGGAATGCTGCTTATGACCTTGAAGCTTCCTATTAGATTATGTTCATTCTTATATGAAGTGAATTTAGTCAGCAAAATGGGGAATTTATAACCAGTTATCCTTCATATTATTTGGTTAGGATTTTTTTCAAAGCAGAAGGTTGTCTGCATAATTTTCTTATTTTTCCTTCTCCAAAGTTGCTATTAATGATTCAAAGGAAAATAATAAAAAGCATATTTTCATTGACCTTTTAGTTGTCCACAAATTTTGGCGTTATTGTCCTCACCCTGTGAATAAACAAGGAGGCAATGGAATGACATCCCATTTCCCCCAAATGATTGCCTCTGACCATGAGCAGTTCACTTTCCTTGCTCTTACTATTGACTTGCATTATACATTATTGACAACTTTGAAAAACATTAGAATGAAATTGCTTAGTTTTTCTATTAATGACTCTTTAGAAATAGTTGTCTTCTAAACACGGCAGTAAAAACCTCATTTCTTATATGATTTTCCATTTGTTTTATTTTCTGTAATAAAAAGCATTAAAAGGCAAGCAATATTAATATATTATAATGGTCCTTAATCTGGAATTTATGGTTCTATATCCAAAAATGATGTATCAAGCCAAAAATCATCACTAGACCCTTGGAAACCCTGGGGATAAGTACACTGTGGTCATCTATGTATTTAATATTTCACATTACCTAAAAGTATTTAAAATCATTTCAAAATAAAAAACTAAAAGTAGAGTGAGGGAATCATGAGAAAGGGAAGATAAAATTTAGAAAAATAAGAAGTTGAGATTTAACCAGCAAAAACCCTTGTTCCTTCCTATTATTGCTTATATTCTCTCTACAACAAAATTAGAAATAAGGGCAAAATAGTTTCTGCTGGGTATTGGGGTGGAGAGGGAGGGGGCGGAGTGGGTGGTAAGGGAGGGGGTGGGGGCAGGGGGGAGAAATGAACCAAGCCTTGTATGCACATATGAATAATAAAAGAAAAAGGGAAAAAAAAAAGAAGTTGAGATTTAAATGGTACAAAAATGTATGTCATCACATGCCAAGTATTTGTTAAGGTGGGGAGCCATTTTTGCTCTTGCATCCTAGTACCCATGCTAAAGAGACAAACACTAATGAACTTTGTGATTTAAGTGTCTATAAGATAAAAACAAATCAGGTTGCTTAAGAGGACTCCCCTGCCTCTTTTCTGGGGCTGAGACTTAAATTGTTTTTCTGTGTG